CCTCTCTCCTCTCTCATCCTTCTCCTCTTCCCTTCCCTCTCTCCCCTCCCACTCTCCCTCCCTCGCGCCCTCTCTCCCTCCTTCTCCTCTCTTCCCCGCTCCCCCTCTCTCTCCTCTCCCCTCATCTCCTCTCTCCATCATTCTCTCATCTCTCTCTTCCCCTCTCTCCTTCTCTCTCTCCACTCTCTCCCTCATTCGCGACTCATCCTCCTCTGTCCTCTCTCCCTCTCTCCCCCTACTCACTCTCCTCAATCTCTTCCCCTCTCCTCCTTCCTCCCCATCCTCTCTCTCCTCTCCTCCCGCCTCTTTCTCTCCTCCCCTTCATTCATCTCTACCTCCCCTCTCCTCTTCTCTCTCCTTCTCTCCCATCTCATCTCCACTCTCTTCCTTCTCTCTCCTCCCCTCTCCTCCCTCTCTATCCTCCTCTCTCCCTCCCCTCTCCACCCTCCTCCTTCTGCCCTCCCTCCTCTCCCCTTTCCTCCCTCCCTCCACCTCTCCCTCCCTCCCCTCCCCTCCCATCTTCCCTCCCATCTCCCTCTCCCTCCTCCTCTCTCTTCCCTCTCTCTCATCTCCCTCTCTCCCTCTTTCCCTCTTCGCCTCTTTTTCTCTTGTCCCGTCTCTTCTCATCCTCCTCTTCTTACTCTCTCTCTCCTCTCCTCCTCACCTCTCCTCTCTCCCTCCCTCTTCCTCCTCCTTCTCTCCTCTCCTCTCTCTCTCTCTCTCTCTCTCCCTCTCCCTCCTCTCCTCTCTCTCTCCTCCCTCTTCTCTCCCTCTCTCTCTCTCTCTCTCTCATCTTCTCTCTCACCTTCTCTCCCCCTCCTCTTCTCTCTCCTCTCCCCCCCCCTTCTCCCTCTCCCCTTCTCTCCGCCCATTCTCTCCCCTCCTTCTTTCCCCTCGTCCTCTCCCTCTTTCTCCCTCTCCCCTTCTCTCCTCCTCCTATCTCTCCCCCTCTCTCCCTCCTTCTTTTCCCTCTCCCTCTCTCCCTCTCCTTTCCCCTTCTCTTCCCCCTCTCCTCCCCCCATCTCCTCCCTCCTCTTTCCCTCGCCCTCATCCCTCTCTCCTCCTCCTCTCCCCCTTCCCCGCTCCCCCCCCCTCTCCATCTCTCCCTCTCCTATTCCCTCTCTCTCTCCCCTTCTCTCACTCCTCCCTCCCCCCTCTCACTCCTCATCTCTTCTCCCTCCCTCTCTCTCTCTCTCCCCCCTCTCTCTCCTCTCTCTCCCCCTTCTCTTCCCTTCCTTATCTCTCTCCTTCTCCCTCTCTCCTCTCTCTCTCTCTCTCGTCCCCTTCTCATCTTCTCCCCCCTTCTTCCTCTTCTTCTTTCTATTTTCTTTTTTTTCTTTTCCCTCTACTCTCCTCTTTCCTCCTTCTTTTCTCCCTTTTCCCTCCCTCCTTCCTCTTCCTCTTTTCCCTTCCCTCTCTTTTTCCCTCTTCTTTTATTCCCTTCTCCCCATCTTTCTCTCCCTCTCCTCTCTCTCTGCCCTCTTCCCCTATTCTTCCTGTGTCTCCCTCCTCTCTCTCCCTCTTTTCACAATTACTTTTCCACCTTTTCCCTCTTCTCTCACCCCTCCTTCTATTCCTTTCCTCCTCTCTCTCCCAACTCTCTCTCTCCCTCTTCTCGCCTTTTTCCCCTTCCCTCTCCCCTCCTCTTGTCTTTCCCTTTTTTCCCTTTCATCGCTGTCCTGTCTCTCCTTATTCAATCTACCCTGGGGTGTGAGCTGTATTTTACCTTTTATCATGAGCTACTCCTTCCTAAGTTACACAAACAGGAAACACTTAGTCGACTGTGGCTGCTGGTCGGACAACGGCTAGCTTGTCGGGACCGGCGCGTACAAAACAAACAAACCCGCGGGGGGGCGCCAGGCCAGATTTAATTAAGGGGAGGTTCCAAATCACAGCAGAAAGATGGCAGAGCCGACTAAGGACGAAATATAGGTAATCAAAGAATGTGTCTTCTGCTAACGGAAATCGATGGTTTTTTAAAAAACTATTTATTGCTGAACCAAGGCCTTCAATCGGACTATCTCTCCATTCCTCTCCCCCCCTCCCCTTTCCCCTCCCCCCCCCTCCCCCTCCTCTCTCTCTCTCTCTCTCTCTTCTCCTCCTTCCCTCTCTCCTCCTCTCGCTCTATCTCTCTCTCATCATCCTCTCTTCTCCTCTCTTCTCTACGCCACTCTCCTCCTCTTCCTCTCTCTCCTCTCTTCTCTCTCTCTCCCTTCTCTCTCTCTCTCTCTCTCTTCCTCCTCCTCCTCTCCAACTCCTCTATCTCTCTTCATCTCTATCTTTCTCTCGTCCTCGACTCTTTTCTCCATCTCTCCTCTCTCCTCCTCTTTCCCTCTCTCTCCTCTCTCTCCTCTCCCTCTCTCTCTTCTCTTCTCCCTCCCTCCTCCCTCTCTCTCTCTCTAACATCTCTCTTCTCATCCCCTACCTACCATCCTCACTCTCCCTCATCTCCTCTCTCTCTCACTCCTTCTCCATCTCTCCAACTCTCCTCTCTCTCCCCCCACTCCTTTTCCCCATCCATACATTACATACATACATGCATACATACATACATACATACATACATACATACATACATACATACATACATGCATACATGCATACGTATATCCCTCCATCCCTTCCTTCCGTTCTCTCTCCTCCTCCTCCTGCTCTTTTCTCCTCTGCATACGCTTGTATGAATTTATTGATCTCTTGCCAAATAATGTCCAAGTATTTGCAGAAAAAAGGAATGTCCTTTGTCTCCATTTTTCGAGACTTATTTTCGCGCGGTTCACTCACCTGACCTCACAAGGTAAAATGTTTTGCTTCCTGGCCGGCCTTAGGAAATTAATTCTGAGTGGTACTCGGGGGCGAATGAGGCCGAACATGCCTTCAGAAATGCCAATTAGCGCGAGGCTTCTTTGGCTTGGGCGATAAATTGTGTGTTTTAAAGACTTAGGTTATTATACTTTTAAAACTGATGTTTTCATTTTCATTTATTGACAGAGCGTGGATGAGTAATTGTTGGTAGGTGACATGAATGTCATTTTTGAAAACTCGATGTTTTTTTTCTTGCTGTGATTACTTAGATTTATAATGTAGATCATCATTACTGTTATTGTTAGTGACTATTATCTTTATCCCTATTATTATTACCATTACTATTGTATTATTGTTGTCATTATTATTATTATTATTATTATTATTATTTTTATAATTATTATTATCATCGTCATCATCATCATCATTATCATTATTATTGATATTATTACTATTACAGTTGATCATTCGTGATTCCATATTACTTATTATTGTGGTGTTCTGTCACTCGTGATGGTGATAGTCTTCTTATAATCACCATATTATTTTTTCCATCATAAACATCATCATTACTCCCGTTATCAATGTCATAGCCACCACTAGTATCGCCACCATCAACGTTATCATTGTTATCGATCGTCCGAAATGACACACGTCAGTGGGTGTTCCGCGCCGCTTCTTCCCCTCTAAGGGAGAGGCAGCCTCGTCCCTCCGAGGGTCGTGGGCGGGAGCCAAGACCGCAGGGGAGCAGAATGGGCGGGGGCTATGGCAAAAGGACTAGTGGGGGGGGTGGATAAAGGGTGGTAATGAGGCACAGGGGGCACTGAGGGGTGCAGCGGTAGGAAAGAGGGCTTCGAGTGTTAAGGGAAGAGAAAGGAGCTTGGGTACAAAGGGGGGGGGGCTACAGGGGTTGGATGGGGGGTAGAGGGGGACACAGGCTCTGACGAAGAATATTTTTTTTTAACTAAATTCTTGGGGATGGGGTGCCACTGACTCATGCACGGACATACCATATGTACGCGAGGTATGTGTGACCACATACACATGTACACCCCCCCCTCTCTCTTTCTCTCTCTCTCTCTCTCTCTCTCTCTCTCTCTCTCTCTCTCTCTCTCTCTCTCTCTCTCTCTCTCTCTCTCACACACACACACACACACACACACACACACACACACACACACACACACACACACACACACACACACACACACACACACACACACACGCACACACACACACACACACACACACATACATATTCTAAGTATTCGTTTATGGGATGTAGGATGTAGGTTTCAGTAGTGATAAAAGGTAATTCAGAAGTTAATCAAAATAAATTGCATTCTAGAATTTCATTAAAGTATCCATATATTCTAGTTGATTAAGAGTACTTAGAAGGTTCATACCCCGCATTGTACTGATAATTCAGATGTACAGGACTGTAAAATGATGTGCTGATATGTGAGAAAATATTTAAAATGTGATATTTTTTTAACCTTTCATTTGAGAAAATTTCCCAAAAAATACCCACCATAATAATCATTCAGCTTACCTTATTGAGTGATGAGGTTGTGGTGAGATGAGTTATAGGTGATGGCAGTGTGCTGGGAACTTCTTGCCGTCGCTGCTGCTGTTGTCGTTACATCGTCGTTTTTCTCCCGAGTTGCGTCACTTAGCACTTACTCAGACTCCCCCGCCTGACTCCTTTCGTTCCCGGAGTTCAGGCGGGTCACACGGGCCTTTCGGGTTACCTGAGGTCACCGCGTCCGATTCCCTGCGCACACATTCCCGGTTCCGGAATCACACACTTCCGGCATGGAGACGCGACGTTCCGGCCCGGCGTCGCCGCCTACGCGGGAGAAGCAGCGAGTCCTCCCGGCGGCGCCCGGGGGTCACGCCTGCCTGCGCGTGGGCGTGGTATAAGGCCAAGTGAGAGGGGGGCACTGAAGGCGTCCCCGGGTGGGCGTGCGGCGACTGAGGAGGGCGGCGTGGCGTGGGCGTCCTCGCAGGTCGAGGGGCCGCGGTCGCCCCGTGTCCTTGGCGTCCTAGATGAGCAGGTGCGGGGGCGGGGTCGGGGGCGTGGCGAGGCCCGGCGCGGCGAGGGCGGCGGGCGCGAAGGGGCCGAAGGGGCCTGGGGCAAGGGCGGGGAGCTCCGCGTGGACAGCCAGGCTGCGGGGCGGCGGCGGCGGCGGCGGTCATCATATCTGCGTCTGGCGCACGTGGCGCAGCTCACGTAGCTCCGTCACGTCGTTGTTGTTGCCGTTGGGCTTGCGCTTGTCGGGCTGCGGGCGGCGCACGGGCGTGTCCGTGATGAGGGCGCAGTGCGAGTTGGTGTCGGACTCGGCGCCGTCCGTCGGGCCGGACAGGTGGTTGAGGCGCGGCTGCGTCAGCGGCGTATCGGCCACCGACTCAGCGTCGGCGTGCGCGTCGCCGCCGCCGCCGCCCTCACCTTCGCCGCCACCTGCGCCATCGCCGCCGCCGCCCGCGCCACCGCCCGAACTGAGCAGTCCGCACTCGGCCGCCTTGTCAGGCGACACGAGGCCGAGCGCGGCCGCCAGCTCGGGGTTGGGCGTGCACTGCGTCTCGCCCTGCAGCACCTTGATCTTCTGGATCATCTCCTGGATCTCGAAGCGCAGGATGCCCACGAAGCACAGCTTGATGAAGGCGATCACGCAGAAGCCCAGGATCATCAGCGTCTCGGCCGACGTCATCAGCCACTTCTCCAGGTGCACGACGCAGCCGCGTGTGTAGTACTCTTTGTCGTCGCCGTTGGCGCACGTCAGGTTGCGGTCCCGCCCGCGCCCGCCGCCGCCCCCGTACGAGTCGGCGCGCAGGCGGCCCTTCGCATCGGCCTCGGGGTACGCCTTCACGTGGCGCACCTTCTGATCGGCCTTGATGCCCGACAGCGGACGCACACTGGGCTCCGCCGCATCGCTCTCGTTACGCTGGCAGCACGACGCCGGCAGCCGCAGCACGTGGTGTTGTAGTCGCGCGTCCCACCACGTGGTGTTGTAGTCGCGCGGCGACGCTACGCCGCAGCATTTGGCTGCGCGCTGCAGCGTGTCCCACGCCTCCGTGACGTCGGGGTCGCGGCCGTAGCGGTCGAGCAGCGTGGCGCGCACGTGAGGCGTGAGGCCGTCGGTGAGGTGCGAGAAGCGGTAGAGCCACACGAGGCCCACCACCACGTCGCCCAGCAGCAGGAACAGCAGTAGGAGCCAGTAAATGTTGAGCAGCCGCTGCGAGAGGCGGAGCGCCCCTAGGCAGCCCAGCGCCTGCAGCACGCCGGCCTGCAGCAGCAGCGCCAGGTAGCCGTAGAGCAGCGTCGGGTGGTAGGCGGGCGGCGCCGGCACCAGCGACAGGTACGGGTGCGAGGCCACGCCCCCCGCCACGCCCATGAACACGAACACTGACACGAGCAGGACGGCATTGCACGTGTAAATCCACAATCGGTAGTAACGCATTGCCTTGCGCAGGAACATCACCGCGGCCATGCGAGGCCAGAGGCGGCCCCTCCTGCAGGAGGTGAAGCGGCGGAGGCGGCAGCGGCGGCGGGCGGCGTCAGCGTCCCGCCCGTCCCGGCCTGAGTTCGGGCACCAGTTCTTGCCTCCACCTCACGATGCCCGGGTCGCGCTGGGTGCCGCACCTGAGACGGTGCCAGCCTAACTGCCGCGGCACTGCTAGCTCAGGGGAGGCACTGGCGCCACCTCCCTCCCTTCCTCCTGTCTCCCTGGGCGCCTCGTCGCACGGTGCCACCGCCGGTGCCACGGGTATATTTGGCAGCGGCGAGCGAGCGAGCGAGCGAGCGGGCGGGCGGTCGTCACACGGCGAGCGCCACCTGTCGCGGGCGGTCGGCGCACTTCTTGCCTCCGCCCTCGCTCACGCCCCGAGCACCATCGCCGCGCACTACCTCTTCGGGAACCCGCGGCTGCTGCGGTCCAGGCGCATAGCTACGGCTCTGGGGCACTCGTGCGGACGGGCGGGCGGGCGTTCGGGCTCGGGCACCTCCCTCTGCGCGGAAGGCGTAACGATTCGCTCCAAGGCCTTGCCCTTTGACCTCACACTTCACAAGGCACAGTCAGACGACGTCGATAGAACGGGCAGTTTGCAGAACAGTTGGGTCAGATTCACTTTTTTCCCTCTCACAGTATTAGGCGTCTTTTAGAGCGCTGACACTCAGATCGTGCATGGGCGGGGGCGGGAACCGAATTCGGCCTGGCGTTGCTCTCTCGCCGCTCCATCGTGGCGCGCGACGCCCGCATAGCATCGGCTGTGCTGCAGGAAGTCCGCTATGCGCAATTCGGCGCTTGCATAACCCTTTTCAGTACTTCTTTTGCCTTTTGAATTTTGCGACATTTTCTCCTTTCATTATGTTACTTTTATAGTTTTTTATTTGTCTTTAACTTCTGTCCTACTTTTTTCTTATGCAATAATTATTAGTTTAGTGCGTGCGCATGCCGTGTTTGAGCGCTCCGTTCCCGCTTCCGTGGAGATCCTTGGCTCATCCTCGAAGGGCAGAGGCTGACCTGAAGGCACGACCCGGCGAATCTGGAAGGAAGAAGGCAATGTTAGTGGAAAGAAAAGGAAACTGTAGGAGTTCTGTTGTTTTTCTTTTTCTTTTTTCTTCATTCATAAAGGTTGTAAAGCCCATCTCTCTCTTTCTCTCTCTCTCTCTCTCTCTCTCTCTCTCTCTCTCTCTCTCTCTCTCTCTCTCTCTCTCTCTCTCTCTCTCTCTCTCTCTCTCTCTCTATCCCCCCCTCTCTCCCTCTCCCTCTCCCTCTCTCCCTCCCCCCCTCTCTCTCCCTCCCTCCCTCTCTCCATCCCTCCCTCTCTCTCCCTCCCCCCCCTCTCTCTCCCTCCCTCCCTCTCTCCATCCCTCCCTCTCTCTCTCTCATGTTATGTGTTCTTGCGTTACAGAACTGTTTATAGGAACTGAAAGATGTACCTGCCTCTGACTGGCACGCTGTTTACACGTCGAGTGGGGCAGGGTCAAGGAGGAGAGGGAATGCCCAGGGGAGGGGCAAGGGAAAGGGTGAGCGGAGGAAAAGGGACTGGGTATGGTGGGAGGGGCTAGTGTCAAGGGGTAATGTTAAGAGGTCTGAGTAGGAAGAGGGGTGAAGGGAGGGGGGGAACAGGGCAAGGGGAATACCAGGGGGGCCGATGTGGATTGGTATCCGTCACACCACCCCTTCCCCGCTCTACGCTTTTTTTTCGGATCTGAACTTGTCATGCCGCTGTCATGTCACTGAGCTCGGTTTGCGAATTTAGCTGTCGGCAGGAGGGAGAGAGGAAAAAAGAATGTGCGAAAGTTTTCAGGGAAGATGGGGAGTGAAAAGGATAGTAAAAGGGGGGGAGAGAGAGGGAGAAGGAGAGGAAGAGAAAGAGAGAAAAGGGAGAGAGATGGAGAGGGAGAGGAAAGGAAGAAGGAAAGGGAAGGGAGAGGGAGAAGGAAGAGAGAGAAAAAAGAAAGAAAAGATAAAGAGAGGGAAAGGAGAAAGATAGAGAAAAAAATAAAGAGAGAGACAGAAAAAAGAGAGAGAGAGGGAGAAAAAAGAGAAAGCGAGAGAAACAGAGAAAGCGACAGAAAAAAAGAGAAAGAGAGAGGGAGAGAGGAAAGGGAGATAGATAGAGAAAGAAGAATGGGAGTGAGAGAAAGAGGGAGAGAGAGGGAAAGTTAAAGAGGGAGAGAATGACAAACAGAAAGTGTGTGTGTGCGTGTGTAAGTGAGTGGGTGAATGAGAGAACTAGAGAGCGAGAGCGTGGCCGGCAGCCATCCTGTGCGAGGCCGAGGGACGGGCCTCTCCTTCCATGGCCAATTCCGCACGGAGAGCCGGCATTCCCTACCTCCCAGGGCACGCAATCTCTCGGCGACAGCGGGCACACGCAACGCCCGCACTCAGACGGCGCTGATTCGCAAACCCCGGCGTAAACGGCCACGCGAGTGAAATTAATGTAATTAGTATGGATTTTTTCTTTCAGAATGAGATTGGGTTCTTTTCAAACTGTGTTTGAGTTGATCATGCGGCAGCGAGGGCGTGTAAACATGCAGAGTCTTTCGTCAGCTTACAGGAAGGCAAATATTTGAAGCGAATGTCAGTTTCCGAAAGCAAATTTACATGTTCTTGGATTTGAGTCACAGACAGACACCTTGCAAGAAGCGCTTTCGCCAACAAGTAAAAGTCACCTTCATAGTATCTTCAATTATAAACTGACGTGATTTAAACGCCTCCTTCGTCTTTCTCTTCGCCAGCCGTACTTCGGATTTCTGTTTCAGTTAAATTTCCGTAAATGCATTTGAGGGCACAGCGCAAATCCCAGCCTGCGTCCCTCCCACTGCTTAGCAAAACAACTGGAACTCCAATGGAAGCACGGCGAATTAACCCCCAATAAGCAAATTAAATGTGGGAATTAGTCTCCTATTTTTCTTGTATACGCAGCAGTCGCTCCGTTTCCCCAAATTAGAACGTGTTTAAATAGCAGCGGCAGCGGAGCATGACCTGGGAGGAGGCGGGCGCAGAAGGCAAGGCGGTGGGGGTTGAGGGGAGGGGGAGGAGGGGGGGGGGGTAATTGACACGCGTGGAAAAATACTGCTGAAAAAGAAGGGATGGAAGATGCGTAGGGAATAGAAAGCATAATGGCAAGTGAAGCATTTTTTTCGACACATATAGAAGGTAATAGTTATGACGAACATAAATGAGCAACTTCCCACCGGATAGGCTGTAGGGGAAAGTGTGGGCCCGGAAAAAAGATCATTCGGCCGAGGGTTTTGGTGGGACTCCTCGACTCCTGACAGCTGGTTTAGTTTATTTCAGAGAACAAGAAAGCACGAGAACGGAAGAAGCTGTTTAGAACGAAGAGCAAGAGAACCAAAGGAAGCGAAGCAATGAAGCCCCTAACTAAAGTAGCGCAATCATAAGCCAAAGCAAGAGGCAGCAAAACAGGAGAGTGGAAAATGAAGGGAACGAAGCAAGAGAACAAGAATCGAAAACAGGACGAAAAGGAAACGAAGTAGGAGCCAAGTACGGCAAGACACATAAGAAACCATCCATCCCATCATCGTCTGAGACGTCCCCACCCACCATCTTCATTATCATCATCCTTATGATCATAATTATCATCATTAACATCACCATCATAATCATCATCACCATCGAAGGCCCTTATCCTTGTCATCATCACCATCACCAGCATCGTCATCATCATCATCATCATCATCATCATCATCATCATCATCATCATCATCGCCATCATCGTTACTATCATAATCATCATCAGCACCATCCTTATTTTCACCATCATCACCATCATTATCCTATTATCATCACCATTATCCCATCATCATCGAAGTCTCTCACATTATCATCATCATCTCAACCTAGTTATGGCCCAGAGTCTCTCTCTGAGCAAAATGATGAGTGCCATCGTGATTAATTGCCCGCCGGCTTCTGCAATGCTAATCAGCGCAAACATAAAGCCGGTGATGACGCGCCGATCGTGCAGGTAAAAAGAGGACTAACGAGGCGCCGGGGGGGGGGTCTCTGGGGGGCCGCGGGGGAGGGATTAACGGGCCGCGAGGTGGGTGGCTCCGGAAGGGGATTGGGCCGGATTCGGGATTTATTGGTGTTCATTGTTATTGGGGCTGCGGGCGCTCCCGCCGCTGATGGGAGGATTGCTTTTATTTATCGCATTGTCATCTGGTGTGGTCTTCTGTCAGTGTTACTGTGTTGGGAATTATTTTCATCTTCGTTGTCGTCGTCGTGGTTGATTTTGATATGATTGTCCTCATAAGGATCTCTTTCTTTCTTTCTTTCTTTATTATTATTCTCTTTCGCTCTTCCTCTCCCACTCCCTCGCTCCTTTACTCCCCTCCCCTCTCCCTTCCTCTCTTCCTTATCCCTCTCTTTGTATACCCTGTTTCCCCCCCCCCCCTCTCCTTCTGCCCCCATCCTGGACAGAGACGGCCGGGGCGCCGCGGCGAGGGCGAGGGATCGTCGTGGCCGGCGACGTAATCGCACAATAACGGCCAATAAATCCTCCCGAAGGACCCGCGACCAGTTCATCGAAGCCGAATGGCCGGGGCGCCGCGCCTTCCCGCTCTCCTTCCCTCGTGTTGTTCATGGGATCATCTTCATTTTTTATGATCAGCGTTTCTTTGCTTTTGATTTCTCATTTTTTCGCTCATATCTCCCTATCGTTCATATTCTTTTTTTCTTAGTTTTGTTTCTCCCTTTTTTCGATATCATTTTTCAAATTTCTTTCTCTTGATTTTATTGCTCAAATTATATTTTCTTTCACTATTGCTTCTCTTATTTTTTCTCATTTCTTATTTCGTGTTTTTTTCTTGTATTCTTTGGCGTCCATTTGTTTCACACTTTGTTCACATATTTTTTTCTCATTATTTTTTCTTTTGTTTTAATCTCATCTTTTTATATCCTTTTGCCCTGCCTCCAAACGGCAACCAAATCCTTCGCCTCCGTCACGTGTCTCGTTTGTCTCCCTGCTCTTGGGCGAACAAAGACGAAGAGGGAGAAAGGGCGGCGTCTGGTTGGGCCGAGAGTTCTTCGCCGTCCATCTGTCAGGCCGAACAGATGGCG